CCACTGTACTACTTAATCCCTATTTTGAGAGTTCAAATGGAACTTAAATAGTGCAGGGGCCTTGAGAGGTGTTTCTGCTCAAGGGTGAATTTCTGATTGGCTCAGAACCAGGACCTTCTGTGCTTTTACCAGTCGGAATACACTTTGTGAATGAAAATAAATATATGGCAAGTTTCAGTCTCTCTGGTTATGCACTTCTAAAGTAAATAATTTGGTGCAATAGCATTGAAAATATTAAATATGATCTGCTCTTTGAAAATAAATACCATGAAATCTACTTTCTATAAATACCTTGACATTCAGCTTGAAGAGGTAAGTATCAGAGGGGTAGCCGTGTTAGTCTGAATCTTGCATCTGAAGAAGTGAGGTTCTTACCCACGAAAGCTTATGCTCCCAATAATTCTGTTAGTCTTAAAGGTGCCACAGGACCCTCTGTTAGCTTGAAGAGAGAGGCCATTATCCAGACACAACATTTCCAGTTACAGTACAGATGCTACAGAGGGAAAACACAAACAGAATATTTTCCCCTTTTTTCAATTTTATACATAGTGTAATCTACAATGAAATAGTGCTATATATTGCTGCATTGCTGAAACAGGATACGGCTGGATTGTACTGTGTTGACTATCCCCTGCTGGCAGATGATTCCTGGAGGACCATTACCAGCTGGCAGAGTTTAGAGCAACTCTTGCTTCTGCTGAGGTCAGGGTAGAACTGGCCAAAAAAATCAGGGAGCCCCTCTGGTGTGCTGAGTGGAAACAGTGTAGAAAAGAATAGAATCATAGAGTATCAAGGTTGGAAGGGACCTCAGGAGGTCATCTAGTCCAACCCCCTACTCAAAGCAGGAGCAATCCACAGACAGATTTTTGTCCCAGATCCCTAAGTGGCCCCTTTAAGGATTGAACTCACAGCCCTGGGGTTAGCAGGCCAATGCTCAAACCACTGAGCTATTCCTCCTTCCAAGAGGTTCCAGTGTATAAAGCAATATCCACTAAAACCAGTTTAATTGGCCAAGCAGGTTATCTTCTATGACTAATGACACCTGCAGTGCTACCAAGGGGGACACTTGTGATAATTTACCTTGATAACATTTTATGTTATGGAATATTTTTAATGCCAAATCACAGTGATAAGCATACAAGTAGCAAGCTGCCCAGCACTCAGTTTTAGCTATGCTAAATACAGCAATAATTTGAATTTTAGCTGTGCTTTGAGAAATTTCAAGCTAAGTCAAACTATATTTTTAGATTACCAACCATACCAATGAACTTGGGTATAGTATCTTTCCCCTTCCCTCTATTGGACGTAATCAGAACTGCTTGCTTTGTGTCATATAGGCCCTATGCGGTTTATGTAAGGTACTTACTTGGCTGCCCTATTACTACAGTATCTGAGTATCTCAGTCTTCACTGTAGTTATCCCCACAACACCCCTTTGGAGTAGGGAAGTGTTATTATCCCCATTTTACTGAGGCACAGTCAGGGCCGGCTCCAGGCACCAGCAAAGGAAGCAGGTGCCTGGGCGGCCAATAGAAAGGGGTGGCACTCCGTCCGTTATTGGGGTGGCATGTCCAGGTCTGCGGTGGCAATTCGGTGGCGAGTCCTTCAGTCCCTCTCTTCGTCTTCGGCGGCAACTCAATCACTCCGCTTCAGTCTTCGGCGGCAATTCAGCGGCGGGTCCTTCACTCCCTCTCTTCCTCTTCGGCGGCAGCTCAATCGGGTTTTTCTTTTTTCTCTCTTTTTTTCCCGCCACTTGGGGCAGCAAAAAAGCTGGAGTCAGCCCTGGGCACAGTGAGACTACATGACATGCCTAAGATCACACAGGAAGTCTGGGATCTGAATCCTGGTCTCCCAAATCCTAAACTAGTGCCCTAACTAGTGGGCAATCCTTCCTCTCCCTGGAAACACTGCTAACAGAGATTTAGTTTAATCAGCAAAGGCTTGTGCTTTCGGAGCAGGGAGATAAGAGTTTATGTAGTGGCTATGAGGAACCAAATGGCCATAGCATGCAGTCTAGTGACCAGTGTGAAGTCCTACGTGTGTGTGGATTTGTTACATATTATACTGTTAGCAGTCAATGCAGTGCAGTTAGCTTTGATAGCAACATGTTTAGAAGTTCTATAGGAATACCAGTGTATGTTGGATTGGGAAGAGATTACTTTAATTTTTTTCACATGGACAAATACAGTTATCCATTATGTTTTTTCAGTACAACCTTCTCGGATAGTACACAGCATACTCCATGTTCTGTACAATTTTAAACAGCGTTGAGATATGCATTCAGAATATTGTAAACAGGAATATGGCACAGCTCTGCCTTGTAAAGATTAGTCTTTTCTCAACCTAATTTGTTGATAATATTTGCTTCTTTAACACTGGATTTCTTGGTCCATCTTATTATAGTTCATCTTGTTCACTGCGCTCTCGGGAAGAGACCCAACGATTTACAATCAGTTCCTGAAATAGAAACATGGACTATTACAAGAGCAAAAAATAAAAAGCTTCCCCCCCCTCCCTCCTGTCATGCCAGTCATAACTTGGTAGCAGCAATTCTTGATGCCCCCAACCTACATTTAAAGATTAACTTTGGGACCAGCTACCTCTGTGCCAGGCCTGCCCTCCAATTAATTTCTACCAACTCTATGGTGCAACTGAATCTAGGATGTTCAACATCACAGTCTTGTGCTTTCCAGAATTCGAAACATGCCAGAGAGAAAGCAAAAATTAAAGTCTGCTGCTATGCTAGGGAGCTAGAGTCTTCAACTGCCTCAAAGGATTGCTCAGCTAGCAAAGATGAAGAAATAATTTGGACCACAACTTACTTGAACTTTAATTCTTTTTAGACAGTCTGGTGATGACATTTCTTTCTCAGTCATATCACACGGTCTAATCAAATAGCATAACATAAGTTCCTGTTGACAAATACACAAATATTCCTTATGTGAGACAAATGCACAAGCTTCAATTGATATTTGAAACAGGTTTTAAATTAGAATCCAGGTGTTTAGTTTGAACAACAGATCTCATCTCTGAGGCAAATTAAGAGGTATATACTCTTGTATAATGCTTGTTAATGGGAACTAGATAGACATACTGAGGAGAGAACACACCCATTTGTGTATCTGCTTTGAGGCAGACATTACCACTCATGTGACACCTGGATACCCTGGTAACTGGCATAGTAGAATTATCTATATAGACAGGTCATATAGAACTGGTAACCTTTTAGAAGTTTGCACATCCAAAATACTTTCCTATTTGGGCAGGTGAGTGGAGGTGGAAGGAAGTTCGGAGTGCGGAGTTGGAAAGGAATGTCACTCCAGGACTTCCCCATTCTGCACACCTTTATTTCCCCCAATAACTTTCAAAGAGCCTGCACAGATGTGACCCTTCCGCTCCAACCAAGGAGACCTGGAACCTATCAACATTGCTACAAATACTGGCCAGGAAAGGATGTATTCAAACACCACTAGCGTGTGCTGCCCCCCAGCCTAAACATGAAGCAATCATGCTCAGAACCCAAATTCTGATCCAAGCCCAGTGTTGCTTTTCCACAAAAAAATCTCCAAGCTAAACTATTACATTTACCAGTTAAAACTATTTCTAGATGCAGAATCAGTATCTTATGTTGTTACCTTAGAAACATTCACTGTTGTTCTGTTCAAGCCAGACAAAGACATCCAGTTGAGCGGTCTGCGCAGTGACCCTACAAAGTTGTCATTAACCAGTTCAGCAATGACTGAGTAACTGGAAAATAAACCCAAAGAATAGATTACAAAGAGAAAATTATGGTCACTTAAAAATCCTGTAATTTAAAAACTTCTGCCTGAGAATATTTGGCTATTGTGACGGTCATAGCCAAACAACAAACCTGTAGGGTGCAGACAAGCCATAAGACCTGCATCTGTTTCTACTAGACAAAGAGGAAGTGGTGGATGCAATGCTTAATTTGTGCCAGGCCTTGCCAGGGCTGAGCCTGGTACCTCTAGGCTTGGCAGTTCACAGCACTGGCACCTCTGGGCTTGCCACGTCAGTTATGAAAGTAAAAAAATTGCTTGAGCCTCGGCACCTAATTGCTTGAGTCCTGTTACTTCTTTCATTACAAATTAAGCACTGGATGGAGGAGGTAAATGGTGAATGCAGTGAATGATGGTTCCTCACCCCACCATCCTGCTTCTCTTCTTTCAACAGTGTTCTCTTGAGAGTGTCCATCTTTCATTCACACCCCATAACTAATTAGGCATGCAAATTGATTGGTAGAGGAATGGAGATCACTTATAATAAGTTATGGGCTTTTTTCCCTAAGTTACCCCCAAAATTACCTAAATCATTCATAATAAAAAAGATACACTATTACAAAAATCAGATCATTTTTCTGATTCCAATCAGCACATACAACAGCTAGAGATGCCCAGGGAGGCATTCTGTAGTCTTCAATTATATTCTTAAATATTTGTATATGAACTCACTCTCAAACTTCTTGTTTTGTGCTTCTAGTAAAATGACATGTTGATTCAAAATATTTGAATATCATGCATGGTTAACCTTCCTGGTTAGAAAAATTTGTTTTGGGTGTAGAAAGTACAAAGCAGGAAAATCATACTTTTAATTAGGAGAAATATATCCCAGTAAAAAAGCGGGTGGGGGAAGAGAGAAAATTGTATTCATTCATTTGAAACAAAAATAGAAGTTAAATCACAGTAGTCAAATGCAGAGTAAGTGTTTTATATTCAGAATATAAAGTGAACTCCAAACCTTGCATGGTAAAAGGGGGGACCTTTTCGATATAGCACTGCAACAAAAAAGAAATACTGTATTAGTCAGAGAATCATGAATTCCCAATTTTGGATCTCAGTATCAGAGATCAGAACCCTTATAAATAACTAACAATCATACCCATTACATAAACAAGCTATTGCAGAATCAGAGGAGAGAGGCTGAACCCTTTCAACCAGCTCCAGCTGATCCTATTTAATTGCATGGCACATGTCAAAAGCCAGTGCTGTATAAAGTGGATAGGAAACAAAATTCAGACCAGAAAGTAAACTGCTGAAGAACGAGCTCAAATAAACTCATGTAGATGTCAGGCAACCAATACCAACATTTCACCTATTATAATGGTTATTTTAGTGGACGGTGAAGAAATTGCATTCAGGTACAACTTCTATACCATAAGGATTGTGTGTTAACTCCCAGTACGCACACGAAAACATTCCTTAAGAGTCTTATAGTACACCTCTACCCAGATATTACGCGACCCGATCACGAATTTGGATAGAACGTGGTAAAGCAGTGCTCCGGGGCGGCGGGGCTGTGCGCTCCAGCGGATCAAAGCAAGTTTGATATAACGCAGTTTCACCTATAACGTGGTAAGATTTTTTGGCTCCCAAGGACAGCGTTATATCGGGGTAGAGGTGTGGTTTCATCTGAATAAAAAGCAGCATTCTGATATTTTATACAGACATGCTTTTCTTCATGGTTTGCCATCATTTAACAATTTTCTATTAGAAGATAAATTACACTATCACTCATTTCAAACTACAAAACTGTAATCAAGAAATTATTACTTAACAATTCTTAAGCTATTTACTATGGAAGTATAGACACTACTGAATATGTCCAATTGGGAAGAAAGCATAACAAAACAAAAATAAGTTATTTGAATTACAACTTCAGTATATGCTCCAATCCAACTCCCACTGTTGGTGGAAAGATTTCCATAGAATTCAACAGGAATTGGATCAGGCTGTGAGAACAGAGAAAGCTCACTACTCCAAACACTCATTAATTCCACTTGGGCTTCTCGGCAGAGTGGGTGGATTGGCTCATGAGGTGAATTCCAGTGCAGTTCCACAGCTAATATCTAGCCTATAGGCCAAAGCTACAGGTCCTCCAAGTCACTTACAGCCTGTTTTGGTACCAATGAATCTGCACAGCGGCAGACCATAGCCTCTGCCTCCACTAATACCTTATCTGCTAGCCTATAGCCTAACCAGCGTGCAGAGTCATCTTCCAAACAGGAGCTGGGGAGATCTGCTCTGCTTGTACAGCCTCAATGTCAAGTTTAAGTGGTGCATTGGCTATTAAAGAGTTAGTTGCAAGCTATTCCATTTTTGAAAGGAAACTACTCACAGAGATCGGTTCCATACTTCAGTCCTACTTTGGGGACCCATCCCTTACTTCGGAAGAAGTGATACGCCATGTATGTAGTTCTAAAATTAGGTTGCACTTCACTAAAAACTTCCCATAGCTTCAAAATAGTTAAAGGTTCCTAAAAATCATAACCAAAAAGACATTAGTATTATTACCCTAACCTGCTGCTCTTACTTACAGGGAAATACCCAGGAAATGTTACACATAAAACAGCGTCTTTAGTAGAATATTCTATTCAAGTATCAAACATTATAATCCCATTGCAAAAAGACTACACTTGAGACATTAGCACTATGGGAGTCCATTGTCTGCAACAGAAGTCTGCTTCAATAGGGGTTTACCAATCAATACCAAAAAAACACAACCTTTGAGCTAGCAGAATTCTGCTTGGTTGCATGTTGGTAGCTCAGGACTCAAGAGCAAGAACCTTACACCGATGATATATGTAAAGAAAAATAAAAGCTATTGTTTGTTACGAAAGACGGTGGTTACAATTCAAACTGCAAACTTTTTCACAAAAGGGAAGGACACTCCTATACATACTTCTTCCCACACACCTCTTTTCTCTTGTATTTCTCCCACCAACTCCACACACGAACTTTCTTCCACAGAAGGTACCTGTTTATCTGTATTTTGATGCTAAATAAAAAGCATTGCACAAAGTTTATGGACAATATTCTTATATCTACACAAATAATAGAAACTCACAACTAAAGAGAAAATTTCCAAATCCCTCTAGTTGGTAGTTGCTGCCTTTGAGATTAGCAGCATGTGATTCTGTCATAGTAGTTGGAAGTTTGAGACAGCGATCTATATCCAAGTCAATAGTATTTTGCATCTTTCAGAGCAAAAGTTGCAGATAATTAAATGTAACATCTTACCTCGTTATAATAAATACTCAAACATCCTAGAGCATAGACCAAGAAAAATGCCTAAAAACGTAAAAAGAGTAAGTTAAAATATTCTGTCTGAATCACATGGAGACCTGTAGTTATAAGATTTACATGTTACAACACTCTAGAATTATCGCATAAGAGAAGTTTGAAAGCCACCGAAAGAGACACATTCCCAGAGAATCACCTTTGAAGTACGTCATTGTGACTTTAAAGATAAACCGTTATCGGAATTTTACTCACAGGAGAACAGCATATGCAGACACTGTATTCTAATTAAAGCAGTGTGTATAGATATTTTTGGAAGAAAGACTAGATACATGGTTGTATTTGAAAATTATAGGTCTGTTCCTGTAGCGCTTACTCATGTAATGAGCCACTCTGAGATAAATGGAATTATTCATATGCATAAAATCTGCAGGACTGGTCCCTTGAATGTCTTTCACTATGTCCATGTAATCTACAGATCATTAAAATTATTACTAAATTTACCAAAAACAGTGCAAACATTTTGGATTTTAAAAAAACAGATCATTCTTTAAGAAAGAGGTATTTATTGCATAGATTAGTGCTTTGTTCTGATGTTAGAAGAAAAAGAAGTTTCACAATATTTAACATACCTCCTCCAGACTGAGTTGCAAATATTCAAAAATTCTAAATGGATTTCTTCTGCATACTAATTTTTCCCTTTTGATTAACTAAAAGAAAAAAGTATAAAAATAAAATTATAAAGAAGCAACCAAAGAAAAAGGAAATACGTGTGTTGCATTCAAAATGACATTTTTCAAACATCTTAGATTCCACCTTAACTTTTTATTAAACATTAGTGATTTATTTACTATATAGATGAACATTTAAATCGACAATACTGAATTGTGAAAAGAACACACTGACTATATTTAGTAAAATAAAATAAGTTACCCATGAAAAAGACAACTCGCTTGGCTTACATTTGATTTATCATTTGCTGCTTCATCTTCATGACACAATTTGCTTTCTTCTTCCTGCACCAATACATACTCATAAGCATATTCTTTCCCTTTGGCCAAGTTATGAAATACTTGGTTGGTATAATCTTCGGCCTTGCAGCCACAGTGCACAATAAAATCATCATGTTTTTGGCAATGTACTTTAACTATAGCTTTAGTGTCCAATGGATACAGTTCCTCAGAGCCATAGTTGGCTAGTGGATCATTGTAAGCTGAATCACCTTCCAAAGAAGCTTTCTTGCAGTCTACACTCATGTTATGACATTTAACATTTGGTGCTGCTGAATCTCCATTATTTATGGCAGAATCTCTTGAAAGTTTCATTCCATCTTCTACGTTTTCCATTTCTGCAGCCATTCTGCAGCAAGAGTCATCATTTTGTGCAACTTCTCCTTCCCCTTTCATAAAAGGCAGATCAAATGGCTTAGTATAATTTTCAAGAATTTTGTTAACGGAGCAGTCATCAAGTCCTTGTTCTTGCATAAGGCTTTTAGCCCATTCTAGATGACACTGGTACCTGGATAATGGAAAAACAAGAAGTGGAAGATTCTAGGGCAGAGTATTGTTCAACTAATATGTTAAAACTAGGGCTGTCAAGCGATTAAAACAATTAATCACAATTAAGCGCATGATTAAAAAATTAATCACACTTAATCATGCTGTTAAACAATAATAGACTACAATTTAAATATTTGTGGATGTTTTCTACATTTTCAAATATATTGATTTCAATTATAACACAGAATACCAAGTGTACTATGCTCACTTAATAAAATAAATATATGCACTGTAAAAAAATATAGTATTTTTCAATTCACCTCATACAAGTACTGTAGTGCAATCTCTATCATGAAAGTTGAACTTACAAATGTAGAATTACGTAAAAAAATAACTACATTCAAAAATAAAACAATGTAAAACTTTAGAGCCTACAAGTCCCCTCAGTCCTACTTCTTGTTCAGTCAATTGCTCAGACAAATAAGTTTGGTTACAATTTGCAGGAGATAATGCTGCCTCATTATTATTTATATCACCTGAAAGTGAGTACAGGCGTTTGCGTGGCACTTCTGTAGATAGTGTTGCAAGGTATTTTCATGCCAGATATGCTAAACATTCGTATGCCCCTTCATGCGTCAGCCACCATTCCAGAGGACACGTTTCCATGCCGATGATGCTCATTAAAAAGATAATGTGTTAATTAAATTTGTGACTGAACTCCTGGGGGGAGAATTGTATGTCTCCTGTTCTGTTTTACCCGCATTCTGCCATATATTTCATGTTCTAGCAGTCTTGGGTGATGACCCAGCACGTTTGTTTTAAGAACACTTTCACAGATTTGACAAAATGCGAAGAAGGTACCAATGTGAGATTTCTAAAAATAGCTACAGCACTCGACCCAAGGTTTAAGAATCTGAAGTGCTGTCCAAAATCTGAGAGGGACGAGGTGTGGAGCATCCTTTCAGAAGTCTTAAAAGAGCAACATTCCAAACTACAGAACCCGAAGCACCAAAAAAGAAGATCAACCTTCTGCTGGTGGCATCTGACTCAGATGACGAAAATGAACATGTGTCGGTCCATTCTGCTTTGGATCATTATTGAACAGAACCCATCATCAGCATGGACGCATGTCCTCTGGAATGGTGGTTGAAGCATGAAGGGACATATGAATGTTTAGCATATCTGGCACAAAAATACCTTGCAACGCCGGCAACAAAAGTGCCATGCGAATGCCTGTTCTCACTTTCAGGTGACATTGTAAATAATAAGGAGGCAGCAGTATCGCCCGTATATGTAAACAAACCAGAACAAGAAGTAGGACCGAGTGGACTTATAGGCTCTAAAGTTTTACATTGTTTTGTTTTTGAGTGCAGTTATGTAACAAAAAAAAAAATCTACATTTGTAAGTTACACTTTCACGATAAAGAGATCGCACTTCAGTATTTGTATAAGGTGAACTGAAAAATACTCTCTTTTGTTTATCATTTTACAGTGCAAATATTTGTAATCAAAATAATATAAAGTGAGCACTGTACACTTGGTATTCTGTGTTGTAACATAAATCAATATATTTGAAAATGTAGAAAAACATCCAAAATATTTAATAAATTTCAATTGGTATTCTATTGTTTAACAGTGCGATTAATCATGATTTTTTTTAATCGCATGAGTTAACTGCGATTAATCAACAACTCTAATTAAAACCAACAATACAATATAGAAATAAATGTTAATGCTTCCATAATTTATTTTTAATTTAAAATATGTTTTATATATCAACTGAGGTATGTTTTTTAAACTGATCCAACACATTAGTTAAAATGGAGAATAACCAATTTATAAGACTGTTTGGTATGCTATAATGCTGTGATAATGTAGAAAATAAACACAACTCAAGATCACCATAACATTAAGCTTTCTATATATTTTTAAAAGAATTACATATTTACTTGTAGCTACATGCTGAGATCCCAAAGAGAATGTTATAGTGAGGATTGAGTGAGTAACACAGGGGTTGGCAACCTTTCAGAAGTGGTGTGCCGAGTCTTCATTTATTCACCCTAATTTAAGGTTTCGCGTGCCAGTAATATATTTTAATGTTTTTAGAAGGTCTCTTTCTATAAGTCTATAATATATAACTAAACTATTGTTGTATGTAAAGTAAATAAGGTTTTTAAAATGTTTAAGAAGCTTCATTTAAAATTAAATTAAAATGCACAGCACCCCAGACCGGTGGCCAGGACCCAGGCAGTGAGAGTGCCACTGAAAATCAGCTCTCGTGCCGCCTTCGGCACACGTGCCATAGGTTGCCTATCCCTGGAGTAACAGATGGCACTTCTTAACAAGCAGCTGAATAACACAAACTTATCTAAACATGAAGCCTACAAAAAAAAAATTAGCCTGGACTAATTCATCTTTTAAATCTTAGTTAAATTCTGAATGTATTTAAAGGAAAAGACTAAACAGTGTTTCAGTCCAAGTATAAGTGGGTTTAAATCCACTGGAGGCTAATGAAACAGGCTGACTTTGGCACGAGATTTAGGGACAAATCCTCAGCTGATGTAAAGCAGTGGAGGTCCACTTACTTTAATGGAGCCAAGCTGATTTACATCAACAGAGGATTTGGAACAAATGAAGTCTGAAGAGAAGACACTTCCTAATAGCAGCTATATGAAAGCTAAGCACAATATAACGCTTAAAGGCCCAATTCTGCAGTACTCACTTAACCAAATCTTAAAGGAAGTATTGCCTGTGAAAGGACTTCAGGATCAGGCCCTATATGATTACCAACTACTGCAATGAAGACTTTATATAAACAGTGTTTACATTCTTCATATGTTATACTAGTAGCTAAAAGTAGAATTTAAGGATGCTGATTTAAACAGCGCACAATAGAACACTGAAGACCAATGCCAAAATATGTCCCGAACTGGTTCTCAGCTACAAACAGACCTTGCAGAATTTCAGTTTCAAATCAATACATCAGTATCTCAGGGTGCTGTGCCTTGGATATATTTAGGCCCAACTTATTCAGAAATGCCCTTGGAAAGGTCATCCTAAAGTAAACTAAGTGATACTATTGTAAATAGTTTATGGTTGAAGAAGAGCGGTCTTGTAAATGTGATTTGAACAGGCCATCAACAGTAATATGATAAAGATCTGAAATGGTCTTTCCAAATTAAAAACAAACAAACATCTGTTTGTTTTACTTCTTTCTGCAGTTCTAAAACAGGAGATGGGAACATAAGGAAGATCAGCAAGATATTTAACTCATTTAGGAAATGTTTTAATGCTATACATTTACATCTCCTAAGACTGTGACATACTTCAGATTTCAAACTGTAAAATTATAGGTATTTGGTAATTCTAAGGTACTTTAAGGTCTACTAAATAGCAAGCCTTAAAGTGCAAATGGCAAAAAAACTGGACATGTTCTCTTTGCTCCTTTATGATATACACCTCTACCCCGATATAACGCTGTCCTCGTGAGCCAAAAAAATCTTAAAGCGTTATAGGTGAAACCGCATTATATCGAACTTGCTTTGATCCACCGGAGTGCGCAGCCCCACCCCCCTGGAGCGCTGCTTTACTGCATTATAGTCACAGATGGACTGTGCGTTGTGTGAAGAAATACTTCCTTTTGTTTGCATTAAACCTGCTACCTCTTAATTTCATTTGGTGACCCCTAGTTCTTGTGTAATGTGAAGGAGTAAATAACACTTCCTTATTTACTTTCTCCACACCAGTCATGATTTTATAGACCTCTATCATATCCGCCCCCCCTTCGTTGTTTCTTTTCCAAGCTGAAAAGTCCCAATCTTATTATTCTCTCCTCATATGGAAGCCATTCCATACCAATAATCATTTTTGTTGCCCTTTCTGAACCTTTTCCAATATATCTTTTTTGAGATGGGGCGACCACATCTGCATGCAGTATTCAAGATGTGGGTATACCATGGATTTATATAGAGGCAATATGATATTTTCTGTCTTATTATCTATCCCTTTCTTAATGATTCCCAACATTCTGTTCGCTTTTTTATTGCCGCTGCACACTGAGTGGATGTTTTCAGAGAACTAGCCACAATGACTCCAAGATCTCTTTCTTGAGTGGTAACAGCTAATTTAGACCCCATCATTTTATATGTATAGCTGGGATTATGTTTTCAAGCAGGAAGAAACTGACTGACTATATAGGGGAAATAAGTATAAAGTGTTGTTAAAAATCAATTCTAATCTTTTTCAATTATCATAATTTTAGTTGTTTCTTGTAACAGGCAGAATTTTCAGAGAGAAGTGGAATTTTTAAATTGACAAATATTATTTCTATAGGAGATTATTTTGATATCTAATTTAAGACAAAAGTCCCAAACTACTGTTATAATTATAAAGACAATTACAGTCAGCTACATAGTTTTAAAACTAACAGTGTGAGGAGGATGAGGAGTAAAATACTTTACTTCCCCAACTGAAATTTAGAGATGGCAATTAACTAGGAAAAAAAAGCACTGTAAGAACAGTTAAAACCAAAACAAGTGATGCAGATGAACATGAAATTCAAATCCCTCCCTTCAAAATCTCTTCAGAAGGAAAGCCCTGAATCATCCAACGCTATTTACTACAGACTGGTTTTGAACTGTTAAAAATTTTGATCAGTATATATAATGTTACTGTCATATTATATAAGGTGGTTCCATACAGGGCTGTCCCTAGAGGGGTGTGGGGCTCAGGTGGAGGTGACAAATTCATCTCTTCCGGGACCGACCATGCCAGCTAATTGCACCGCCCAAACGCGGGGCCCGGAGCAGTCACGCCAATTCGCTCTACCCAAGGGATGGCTCTGGTTCCATATCTTTCATCACCAAATAAAATAGAAAAACTTTTATTGTACTGTACTTGATTACCATACAATAGCACTTTATTCATCTGAATAAAATGCTATGAAGCATGCTGTATATCCTGCAATAATGGGGCTGTCACGATGCCTACTGAGATCTGAAGTGGTTAATTGCACTACCACAAAATAAATTAATATTGGTAATATTATGTATTTCTGCAGTAGCATACATCTGATTATTGGGAGGGGGGTGAAAGAACCATTTGGCATGTGTTTACTTTAAGTTGAAATGGTTATTATAAAAGACTACATTTTGTAATCCTATGGGTATGAAAAACAATACAGCAACTAATTTACGCCCCTCACTGGTTGTTTCTTAAACTAGTTGGTTGAATTTAAAACAAAAAACCCCCACCAATTCCCTAACTTATTTCCTGCATAATAAACAAAAGTGCTAAATCTGAAGTCATCATGCAGGCAAACTAAGGAAAAAGATCACACTATGTCAGATTAAAATTCTATGTAATACATTAAAATTGTATTTAAGTGTTAAAGACTGTTTCTGCCCATTCAGAATGAACCTAGTAAGCAAATAGAAAAACTATTAAAAACAGCCTGCCCCAGAATAACCTGCAACAAAAAAGGGGGAAGTATAAAGGTTTCCTTCTATGTTCATATAATCATGAATCAGTTGCTCATATTATAGTGAATTGGCTCTAATTTGCACTGCTTACTCAAGCAAAACTCCCAATAGCTTACATGGAAAAAACAATGCTAGGAATGTTATCTAATATTTTATCTGTCTTTAGGATTTAGGAACTGGAAACAAGGAAGAGAAACAAAACTATGTGAATCAGCCTTTTTACAAGCCAGTTTGGGAACCACTGGGCTAAAACATGAAGCCAAATGAACTGTTACTGTACAGGCGAGTCTCATCTTACACGCATTTAACATGCGCGAATTCAGCTTTGCGCGGTCGGCAAAGAGAAAAAAAAAGTCACAATTTAAATACTGTACCTGTACTGCGGGCGATTCCGCCCGCCATTACACTCAATGTAATTTTGACTATAAGCGATTTTCGCTTTACGCTCTGACAGCGGAATGTAACCGCACTGTAAGATGAGACTCGCCTATACAAACTTAGGATACTATAAGAAAGTTGCACTTACTTTTTTGATGAGAGTATGGGCATGTTTATCTTGGCATCTGCATTAAAAGAGAAAATGTTATTTACAAGTGTTTTGGCAATGCAACGATCTACATGCATATATCGGCAATTAATAATTAGGACAAACCAAGTGGATATTACTAAACTGTCAAGAGAGTGGAAAGTAGTATGATTTACCTTGCCACTTAGCAACCAATAAAGGGTCTGAAATATTGTATTCTGGTCTGCTTCTCGAAAGAATACCTTTTCCAAAATAGCCCTGCAGGTGCAGGGGGAAAAAAGTTGATCAGAATTATTGATACAAAAAATAAAAAAGAATACCTATCCAAAGATCTAGATGCCCCTATCATAAATTACAAAAAAACAATTAGATCAACCACCGAACACCAAACTCACCCACCCCAAAACATGTGAATTTTCTCAAAGGACCACCTCTGCAGCAGCCCATGTAAATAAATGTCTTGCAGAATGCTGCAAAGGTCAATAGATATGGGCTATTTCAGAACAGGAGTGAAAGTATGTTGCAAAGCTTAGGGCCCCTTCATAGAGAATGCACTACCAATAGCCCCCTCTCTTTTAAATTGAGAGGTAGTCAGCTTAAGTGCCACTGCCAATTTCATCTGTGGCAGTATGACACAAGTATAGAGGCGATCTTTCAAGTAGTGAGGTACCAAATGATTTGTGGCTTTATGAATCAAACCCAGCACCTTAAATTCAATTCAGAAACCAAAAGGTATTCACAGCATATCACAAAGTGACATGTGCGGCCACTTAATAGCCAGGCCACTGCATTCTGCACCAGCTTAAGTTTCCTGACTGATCTAAGGTTACTTAATATCTAACAATTAATCCAACATTAGGCATGTAGAGTTTAGAGATTAAAAAAATGTTTTCTTTATTAATCCTACACAATTGCATAAGCATAAACTTCAATAGTTTTTTTAATCAAGGCACTATTAATAATTTTTAGAACATATTATTTTTATACTGATGATTAAGTGAGGTTCCAAGAACAGGCAAGTCATTGCATGATATTCAGTCAAATACAGTACTAATTACTATTGACCTTATTATTCTATTACATTATTATTGACCTTATCATTGGGCATTAGGAATAAAGAATTATCTTTATTGCTAGTTTTATGACTTCTGATGCTGTATTACCATTTTACTCTAAAATATATTTTTTCGTGTTAGGACTAAAATGCTTATAAATTTCATATGTAACACAGATCAAATTATGCTAGAGAATGTTGGTTATGGAGAACATTAGCGATACCACAAATAGCATGCATTGAACATCGAGAATTCAAACATGGAATGTTACCTTGCTATACAGCTGTTCTATATCTTTGGGGTTCCTCACAATTACATTGTTGTTAATAATTTCAGCCTGGTATAACTTGAAATCATTTCCACAGATGTCTTCCTGGGAGGCAGGAATAGGGAATGGAGAATCATATGACTCAAACACTCTTCTTTTCCTTCTTGGGGCATGGAAAACTGCTTCTGCCATTTTCCAATAGTAACCTTTCCCTAAACAATGATAAGCTAAAGACAAAGAGCAGAAAAAGACATTTTTAATATTTTAGAAGCTAGTTTATTTTACATACCTGGACATCATTCCCTGCATTGCAAATCACCAATAAAACCAAGGTCTCCCAACTCCCATTCTCTAACCAGTAGACTATACACCAAGAAATATTTCTTTAACAAGTTATTCTCATATTTTGTATTGCAGTTGGACCTAAAGGCTAGGGTCCCATTGTACAAACATATAGCAAAGAAACAGTCCCTGTCTAAAAGAGTTTACAATCTAAGTTTAAGAGGAGAGACAACAGATGGATATGACAGACAGGGTAGCACAAGGTAACAGTAAGACATTACAATGAGCACCAGTCCCAGTATATTGCCTAACTATTGTTAAGTGTTTTGTAGGCATCAAGATGGGATGGAAGGATTTTAAAGAGCTTTAAAAAAGAACAATGTGGTGCTTTGCAGATTTTTTTTTACTGGAAGCTCCTTCCATGCATAAGTACTGATGTAGGAAACTGCAGTATAGTACTCTTCAAAAATTTGACAAATGGGCAATCAACAGTGTCATTGGTGGCAAATCAGAGGCTGTTGTCTATAT